ATGGAAACGTTTTTTTATCTATCTATCTATCTATCTATCTATCTATCTATCTATCTATCTATCTATCTATCTATCGCGGTCTTTCCATATTTATCTATCTATCGCGGTCTTTCCACATCTATCTATCTATCTATCTATCTATCCCAGATTTATCTGTCTACTCCAGATTTTTCTTTCTTTCTTTCTTCATTACTCTCTCACTATATATATATATATATATATATATATATATATATATATATAGTGAGAGAGAGAGAGAGAGAGAGTGAGAGAGAGATAGGTAAGATGAGAATGAATAGAGAACCATTCTAATGTTCGTAACATTTAATTTAAAAGAGGGTTCAGTACGAAGTAGAGCAATATTATTTATTTCCTATAGATGATAAATAAATAGCTTCTTTAACGACTGTTATTTACATCTTATGTAAAGAAACTGTTATTAACATCTTATATAAAAATCTTTAGTCAACAGTTGCATATTAATTTCCCAAGTGAGTCTATACGTTTAAATTATTTACTGGTTTCATATTTATCAACTATAAATTTGTTTGTACTCACAAAGCATATAACTTGTTTAGCATTTGTAAAAATAACACGCCACCTCATTTTTCTCAGTGTCTAGTGTGTAAAATACATATCCATTAACATCCGCCTCTGTTTAATGTCTGTGCTGCCATTGACAGCCAATCTACGGGTCATGGCCTATTTATGAAAAATAATTTCTTAATTTTTGATTCCTTCGTTTAGTTTAAATTTAACGTAAGTCAAATTCAATTAGTTGATCCTCAGTAAAGCCCACAAACTATATAACCCCCGACTTTTGTTCACAAAAAAAGGTTGTATTTTGCTTTTATCTAAATAAATCGTTCACGCGCCAGTAATTTAAATAGCCTGATGAGATGCATTGATACGCGAATCGAAATACTACTGCAATTTGTAGCGATTTTGACATATTTTCAGTGCAATATCCTAATATATATATATATATATATATATATATATATATATACTAGCAGCATGGCCCGATGTTGCCCGTGCTTGATTCAAAAATCGTATGACTCATCATTTTTGCCCTTCCTTGCTTTTAAAGGAGTGCCCTTTGCCGTGCTGATGTTGCTACATGTCTTTATATACTAAACATTAAATCTTTTACGAACTAAACAAAATGAACACAAAATGATCAGCTTTAAAAAAGTACTGGTAACTGGAAAAACCGAATGAAAAAAGAATGTTAACAACAAATACTTTTTCACACCCAACCCAGTTCTGCGGAATGAGAATCAACGTTGAGTTTAAGCAAGCGAATGAGCCAATTGGAGTAAAGTGCCATGCAGATTTAAATTTTTCTCACTTGTGACGAATGCAGTTATCGAATTTTTTTGCATGCTAGTTAACATTCGTGTCAGTCAGCTGCTGGCTCTCACGCTGGCCAATAGAATCTTCCTACCTATTCGTGGCAGCCAGCTATGGGCTCCCACTCTGGCCAGTACAAAATGGCCGCAAACTACATGAAAACTGCCATGGAAACATGAAAAAATCGATTATTTCCACTATCGATGGGAGTTGGGAAATACAAAGTCGGTCTTGGCCTTCCCCTAACTTGTAGCATGTGCATGTAAATTTTGGTGCAAATCCGTCGAAAATTGCGGCCGTGCATTCGTTACGCACACACACATCATACCTTTGATATATATATATATATATATATATATATATATATATATATATATATATATATATATATATATATAATCAAGAAGAAATAAATTTCATTTCGTTTATAATTTATTTTGTGAATATCTATATATTCAACCCTTCAGACTGAAAACTTTTTATTATTGGAGACAATACCTCGGACTGGTACATTAGATTGAGAGTGGTGGATGGTCAGGTTCTTATAAAATGTGAGACAAAGGAAATGGAAAGAAAAGGGAAGATAGAAGTAATGACTGGGTAGTAGTAAACCTTAAACAGATTGACGGCCAATAATTTTTCCCAGAAAATGTGGAACTTTCTACATCTGTTTATATTCAAAGGAGCCAGTTGCTCCCTATGCAGCAGCAATAAAAATAACTTCAACTGCCTTCCTGCAAAAAGTGGAGAAATATTGTTTTTCTGTAGATTGCGTTAATGTTTGAAGTTTTATTTGCTGTCTCCCTGATGTCGGATTAAACAGCAACTCGAGCGATATGGCTCGTTATTTTAGGCAGCACAAATCAACCTATCCTCATTAATATTAATAAAAATCTCCTTAATATAAATGATAAATAAAAATTACAATAATGGTGATTATATCAAACATAAGTGAAGGGATTTTGAATAGAGATAAATAATAAAAGGAAAATTATAAAACTAGAAATAAAAAATAAAACATAATAAGATGATATAAGGATAGTGAGACAAAAGATATTAATATAGAAATATAAATGTTGTGTAGAGGTCGTCTGTTAGATAAGATTTCTAGATTGCATCTATTTTATTTAAGGCTGGGCTTTAGCCATGTGAATTTTCGTATGCTTTTCAGTAGAAATTATCGATGAAGATTAAATAGAAGAAAAATTTGTTAGATTTATAAACGTTTCATATATATATATATATATATATATATATATATATATATATATATATATATATATATATGCAAGCCTGAATAAGTATATAATTATGGAAAATTAGTAAATTTCAAAGTATAGAAAGATATAGAGAATCACACTATATAGAAGAAGAATTGAATTTCAGTTAGTCTTCATTATCGGTGAAGATTAAATAGAAGAAAAAATTGTTAGATTTATAAACGTTATATATATATATATATATATATATTGTGTGTGTAGAAGTTTAATAACATTATCATTGAACGAAGAAAGAAATTCACAATATTGATCCATATTTTTATAATACGATCTAAGCATTAGGCTTGCATAAGCCATTATCAAAAATGTCAATTACAACATATTAAGCAATACACGGACAAGACAGTGATGATAGTCTGTCATTGTTTACATAAATGATTATATTTACATAGATGATATATATATATATATGCAAGCCTGAATAATTATATAATTATGGAAAATTATTAAATTTTAAAGGATAGAAAGATATGGAGAATCACAGTATATAGAAGAAGAATTGAATTTCTGTTAGTCTTACGGTTATCCTGATTTTTTTATTTGTTTGACTTCATATCAACTCCTTATGGGTCATTTAATGCCGAAATTTAATTTTCTTGGGTGATTTGATTATATAAATATATGATATATGTTATTCTGTTTTTAAAATTGAATACATAATAGATGATACTCAGATCTTCGACATATACATGTTTCTGTGGACATAAATATTAGAGGTAGTGATATACGTCTTTAATGTTGTTGATATATTTTGGAATATAGTTCGATTTAATAAATTGTTGGATAATATATAGATTAATGTTATGAAAATGTTATTTCACTTTGATTGATGTATTGTTGGAACTTTTACTATAAATAAGTATTGCTGGTACTTTTACTATAAAGATATATTTTTTATAATTTAATAGGGTTTGGCGGTTCACTAATTTACCATAATTGGTGCTACCCCTCCAGGTCTGGGTGGACCTGAGAACGAAAGAAATTAAAAAGTAATTCCATGCTCTTCAAAATCTTCAATATCTTTTTCTACTGGATTTCGTTTATAGTCATACCCGGGACTATAGACTCTGTATTATCTAACTAATTATTATGTGTATATACAACGCTAACTCATATATTTTGGCTTACTCTCTCTGTGCCTTGTTACCAAAGAAATTCTTAATTCTTAAGTATGAACCTCAAAGATCAAGGCTAATAATATTACGCAGAATTTGCCAAGATAAACGGTAAAGAAGAATCCTCGATCCATCGCATGAATTTAATTAAAGTTTTATAATTCTTTATGCTATTTATATTCAGAATATTCTTCTCATCTTTGTTGGTTTAATCCCAACTTTTCGACTATTGTGGCCCCCGGTTTTCCACGGGTGTATATCGATTGAGGTAACCTACAGGGAATTCCAAACGGAACCCTTTATTTAATATCCAAGTATAGACTGTTCTATCTGCTTATATAGTAGAGAGTTGAAAGAACAAGAAAACCAATCCTAACCACGAAACAAGAGAAAAACCTCTAATCATGTTTAAAAATTCGTGGAAGAATATGAATCGGACGATAGGCGAAGCTAGTATGTACTTTTTGGTTTACTTTCTACTGGATGTCGTTTATAGTCATACCCAGGACTATAGACGACTCTGTTTTATCTATGTTTTATTTAGCTAATTATTATTTGTAAAAGGGTGTTCTAATAACTTGGACCTATTTTAAATGTGAATTAAGTTTAAACGTCTGATGATTATTTTCTTTCAGACTGTGCGGACATTTTGGAGATATTATTTTTCGCAGATAATTGTCATGATTTAAAATAACAGGGATTAGGAGAGATGCAAACATTGGTAAGAGCTACAAAACATTGGAAGTTGTGGAGAACAATGATCTTTAAAGTTCTGCGAAGCTGCATAAAAGAAAAAAAGAAGTATTTTACTATTGCACATTGACGAAAGAGAACTTCATATGCTCTAATCATAGCATATATCGGGAGGAAGTGTCCTATGGCCGTGATAATATTCTAGTAAAAGCATCAGGAATGAACCATACAACTAACTGCGCGCTTTTTCCGTAAAACATATTGGAATGCCAGTGGCAAGACAATTGTCAACTGACAATAGCAGGTAGCGTAAAGATTTTGCCATATGTTAAGGCAATTACCAAGGCGAACAGCGTCGATAATTCTTATTGCTTTGGTCTAGTACTGAATCTCAATAAAAAAAGTTATTTTCCAGGGGGTTTCTTTATAAGATAAAGAGAGGAGAAATAAAGATAGAAAGCGAGAAAAAAACAAAGAGAGAGAATAAAAGAACAACTTCTCCCGCCCCCAAATCGAAACTATGAGTAAAAATAAAAAAAATAAAAAATCATATAAAAAACGTGAGGACCTAGCGAGTACGCTTAGAATAGAACTACCTGAGAATGTCGGCAATAATTTTCAGCATATGGCTGTAATGTTTTTTCCATAATTATCGGTTTTGCAGTACTGCTAAGAGCAAGTTAACAGTCATTTGTCAAACTAGACACAACGTTG